GTATACCCACGTATACATATATAAGGGTTAAGTATGTGACGATCACTTCTCACGGTCTCACTAGGGTCTCTCACAATAATACGTATATATGTGATCGTAGGCAACCAAATCCAGAATCTGATTCACAACACATACCTACAATCACATCAACGAACCAAATCAACAGCCCACACACTACACGGAGTCAACCCCAACCGCCTTCGACACTCATACCCCTCGCTTTAACCATGCAAACCTCAAAACCTCTAGTCCAACCAACCTTAATTAAATACTCAGTACCTTTGTTGAATGGCCATTCAATAAAAGCCCGGGTGAAACCATAATGAAAACAAGAAAAATTCACCAGGGCTAAAGCATTTTAGGTTGCGTGTGGAGGGTGAGTTGAAATTGAGTCGTAAACCGACGAATCGGCAACCGACCTGTTATCATTGATAACAGAAAGTGATCCTCAAGGGATCAAGCTGGATCTAGCCTTGAACTTGAATCAAATGATAAAAAAAACCTGTAACACACGGCAGACCGATTCCCAAGCTAAGATCATAAGTATATGGAGAATACAACTTCATAATACATCCTCACTCAAAATCTCTCTATAAGTTAAGCCTAAGTCTACCTCTAAGCCAGTGCTTAAGCCAAAGGTAGACCAACTGCAGAATCTCCCCTATTCTGGGTGGATCGCCTGAATCACCACCTGTCAAAATATAATTTATCTCCTATAAAACTAGGAAAATTTCGGCAGCGCTTCCCGTAGGAAAAGTGTCTTTTCATAATTTATATAAGCCCAGATATGAGAGCAAAAATAATCTCTAACTTTGGAAAGTCAAAATCTGTCTAACTCCTTGAATTGGTAAAAATTTGGGCAGCACTCTCTTTAGAAAGGGAGACTTCCCAGATTTATACTAAGTCAGATTTGAACTCACAAGACAAAATTGAGTTCAATTTAGATAAGATTTAACTAACTCCTCAGTTTTGCAGAAATTTCGACAGCACTCCCTCTTAGAAAAGTGTTTTACCAAAAATTTATACAAAGCGAGGTCCAGAATTTAAGAATAACTTTAACTTCTCAAAGTCCAATTTTGTCTAACTCCCTTAATTAGTAAAAATTTGGGCAGCACTCCCTTTAGAAATGGAGACTTCCCAGATTTATACTAAGTTAGATTTGAACTCACAAGACAAACTTGAGTTCAATTTAGATAAGATTTAACTAACTCCTCAGTTTTGCAGAAATTTCGGCAGCACTCCCTCTAGAAAAGTATTTTCCCAAAATCTATACAAAGCGAGGTCCATAATTTAAGAATAACTTTGACTTCTCAAAGTCCAATTTTGTCTAACTCCCTGAATTAGTAAAAATTTGCGCAACACTCCCTCTAGAAAATGAGACTTTTCAGATTTATACTAAGCCATACATGGAAAAAACAAGTTGAACTCTGACAAGTCAAAAGTTGACTAACTTCTTGGATTTGTAGAAATTTCGGCAACGCTTCCCGTAGGAAAAGTAGCTTGCCAAAATTTATACAAAGCCAAGTATAAGAAAAGATCTCATAAAATGCAGGAATTGACCTAAGTAAAAAAAATTATTACAGAAAAAACAGGAATTGACACTAACTCCTATGGCTCTAGCACGTGGTGAGCAACTAAAGCAACTACCTATAGTACTGAAACCCAAACAAACTAATCATCTCATTCTGTCACATGCAAATCAAACCACGAATGTCTGCAACTGCGGTATACACATAGTTCATTCGCGCAGCAGCAGTGCTCAGCTATGGTCAACAACCGTAGTCGCCAATATCAACAACCACCAATCAGCAGCATACCGCGCCGTCCATTAGCATCAGTGGCAGCTCGTGCCCAGACTTGTAATAGCCCACCAAATACACTACAGACACGGTCAGGGAGGGCCAAGCACTGCGGTACTTCAGCAGAAAACTTCGCATGCGCAGCGACCAAGTTCGAACGTCGAACTAACCCCCTACTATACCCCTTCCCAAGCTTCAACTCCTTCCCAAGCTTCAACTCCTTCCTTTGGTCCAACCGTGATCGCACCGCAGTCTGAATCAATCCAGCCATGACACTCGGCACCAACAGTCCCTGCATAGCAGCAGTGCACCCGCTGTTCAACTCAGCAACACATAGCATCTCAGTCAAATCGTAATGCAATAGTACTCTGACAGTCATTTTTAACTTGCAGCAACACCTTCTCAACAAAATGCAAGACGAGAGTGAACCTTCCGCTTCAATGTGGAAAGGTACACCTCAGCTTCGAAGTCCTTCCTCCTGCGTAGTGTAGTCAAATGAGTATCTTTTTCGTCCCTCTTTCCCTCACTTTCTCTCTCTAGCTTCCCGCCCGAAACGTATCTGCCCACAAGTGAGCCTCTGGCCCCACGGATGTCACCCCTGCTATTCGACTCGACATGAAACGCTGAGTGAATCCATCCACATACCCGGTCAGATTTATCCCCTCATCGCCAGTCTCGAAGGTACGTGCTTGCTCCCTCCTTACTCATGTGGATGCCACACGCTCGATCACGAGCCATATAACAGGTAGGCCTCCAACCTCCCGGCTCGCTCCCCGCTGCTCCTCTCCGAGTGAATAAGCAAAATCGGAATGAATCTTTCGTAAAAAACCGGGCCAGGTGCATTCACTCTGCTGGCCCCACCCCGGGGCGCAGCTCCTTACTATTGTAACCCAGAATCTAACTTCCGAATTCCTGATTCAACACCGTCATCCTACTCGCGGTACTCTAGAACCCCTGATTAGGATCCCTTCCCGCCTGTTTCCATCGGAAGCGGCTGAGTTGTCCCTTCTTCTTGCTCACCTCTCCCGCTGCCCGCCGTAGCCCCGGCGCACTATATTTCTCCTCTAACTCTCGTTCTACTAACTTTTACCCGAATCTAATAGTTCTAGTAGATTCACCCTACTCCGAAACATTGGAACAGACCTTTCTTCCACCCGTTTTCATCAAGGAACGGGTGGGATCGATACCCTCTCTCCCTTCTTCTTCCGCATGCACCTAACGCGGGAACCCGTCCGGGTTCACCCGAATCTCCACTCCCCTTCACTCCTCGCTTTCCATCCTCCTCTGCTCTCCACCTGCTGACTATCTCTCTTATCTAACCTCATGCTCAGCGTCGCCCGCCCCTCGACTGTCAGTTTTGACCCTGCAGACACTCGCTTTCGTAGAGAAACGGGTGTTTTCCCGTCCCCATTCCTCCCCCTCATCTCTCCGCCATAGCTCCCCTCATTGACTTTCTCACTAACTCACAATCTACTAATCTAATCCTAAAATTAACACTTCAGTCGGGGTTGCCCACCTTTAATCCCCCGAAATCAACTCTTCCCTTGCCCGATTTGGCTAAGAAACGGGCGAGCTGTGAGTTATCCACCCCGCCATACCTTCTCTTTGCCCCGAATGCACCCGGCGCACCCCGCGTCCGGGTTCATTCCCACTTCTTCCCGACTAACATCGCCCAGCGCCACCCCCACCGTGGCCGACTGCACAGCGCCCAGCCCACGGCTCCTGCTGCTAACGCAACCCCCTCACAGCCTTAGCGCC